CGCAGCGCAAGAGGCTGACGAGGGGGAGTTTTTTTTTTTTTCTCCAGAAAATCAAGAGTATCATGTGTTGGATATTAGGAAATGATTACCCAGTGGGACTCCCTCCCTCGTTTTCCTTCTTTCATGTCTGCCAACTGTTTTCTCTTCACTTCTGTGAAAGCTGCGATAGCTGGATAGCTGCCCCGGTGCATTAAATGTTTCAGCAAAACCTTTTTTTTTTTGTTTTGATCAAGTGGCATGACCGACCACACATACTGCAGGCGTGCTGGAAACGTTTCCATGTGCCCGCTGCTTTGCTTTGTGTTCAGTCGGCTGAAAAGAACAAAAAGATCCTGTAATGAAACTGGCTGTGAGGTGACTCACCCACTTCTTTTTTTTTTTTTTTTTTTCCCCAAATCTGAAAATTAGGCCTATTTAAAGAGAGAGTTACTGGATAAGCAAAATCTACTTTGTTGTTTTTTGTACTCACCCTAAGTTAGTGTACCGTAGAGAGGCTACTGCAAAGAACAAGGCTCACTGGGGTTGTTCGCTCTGTTGTGCAAATAATTTTCCCTACTTTTGGCTTCCGTTGGACTATCCCCATATAAATCTATTTGAAAATATGATCACATGCATGTGCTGTACTGTTTAGGATTACAGTTCTTCTTCCCAAGTGCAATAATCATGTGTATGTTTGCATTACAGACCTCTAACTGTACGGGTTACCAGATATATTGCCAGAAAGGCTGATTACATTATAAATACAGCTGCTTTCATCAATCTTCCAATAAATATCACCAGATACTGTCAAGAAATTTGAACTCAATATTATTGACCCTAGAACAAACCCTTACTGCATTTAAGGTTGTAATTCTGTATGCATTGTGCGTCTTTAGCTTTACATTTTGACGTTTGTGTCTTTCTGTCTACAGCTGTGGTTCAGGTGGACGGGAGCCCAGTGAGACTACAGCTGTGTGACACTGCAGGACAGGTGAGAACTGTTCACCCACAGGTGCATATGGCATCATCTTTCATAAGGCATAACCCCACAAGCGTTTAAGTGCTACCAATGAATAACATATTGGTTAGCTGTTTCCATTTGATGTATCTTTGTCTCCCTTGATTAAAACAAAAGAACGTTCTTATCATCTGAAACACTACAGTTTGTTTTGCAAATCATCGCTTAGTTGCTCCAACCACTTAAGCTATTAATATTAACTTTAGTTAAGGCACTTGACACCATGTCGTGAAGTAAGCAGCTCTTATTTTGAAGTATGAGAGGAAGCACTTCTTGTTTGAGTTGTTTCATTGACCCAGTTAGCTGACTTTTCATCATTCAGGCTGACGACACTTTCTTACGTTAGCACTGAAAAAAGTGCTCCACGTCCACGAAACTGTGCGACTTGGGAAAAGAAGTGAAACATCGACAGGGTAAGAGACAAAATTATAATGGTTAGTGCGTAATATCAGAATACAGCGACTGGCTAACTGTCACCATCTAATGGCAGAAGTTTGTATGCGTTACACACCTCGCTATTTCAGTTCTATAAGAAATCTTCTAGACTGCATTTCATTACATCTCGTTCAAAATCAAAAGTAGTGAACTTCAAATGAAAGTTCACGATATCAGAATTTGAGGAAAACACTCGTTTCCCAAAGATACTCGAGTAAAAACGCGCCGTTTTAGAAATATTCCAAGCAAGAAAGGTTCAATGGGAATGATTGGCCTTAATGGGTATTGGCTGGAAATTTAAGCTTTTTTTTTTTTTTCATTTACAAAAAATAATAATTAGTCCTTTGTTTGGGCTCATAATACGTGGTTTCAGTGATTCCAGAACTGACCTAAACATGGGATGCAGGAGTGCACAGTATATGTAGGAGGGCGTGGCCTTGCTATCAATAAGCTGTTCACTGTTTGCATGTGACTGGGGAATAGCATAGATATACTGAGAAGTTCTTCAAATATGGTTGTTTAAGTCAAGATTACGCTAAACTATATTTTCCCCTAACTATATTTAACATTTCTGTTGAGGAACAATGTTGACATATTTCTCCCTTTAATTAGCTGCACATTGTACAAGTTTTTTAAAAAAAATAAATTTTATACAAATTTCCTAGATTTCTGAGCCTTGGTCAAACATGGGTTTTAGAGATTCTTTAATGTCTAATGTGAAACCTACATTGAACCACAAATGGAGAATTTTTAGTCTCCAAAAGAGTACTGTGAAATTTTCATCCCACTTTGTTTTAATCTCGTAAACTAGGTGTGAATATTGGAATACATTTTTAATCTCCAAATTTCAAAGCTTCACCTCAAATCTTTGTGATATTTTGACTCTACATACAAGTGATCTGAAACTGATCAAACGGGTCAAAGCTTTGGCATGTAAACAGAGCATCTGGTCTGACAGTGCACGCTGCATTTAGTCTTAATGGATTAAGCTCAATCTGAGAGAGTTTTTGCCTTTTCCAGCTTTCACGTGTCAGGATTTGCCGTTTTAAATCATATTCACGTGTAGCAAAGATGTCATCTTGGTGGATTTCTACCAACACTCAAATTTAACTTTCGCCATTTTCTGTAAACAAGAGCAGTGTTTGTCATGTATTTATTGCAGTTGTCCGTTTCTCTAACGGACACAATAGGGAAACGATTTGCCAGGTAAATGTATTCATTATTTATGTGTTAATCCAGTATTATTCTCATGGCGGATGCTAGGGGGTTACTTTATAATCCAGCTCAGTAGTGCAGCACCCTGCTGTGGAAGCAGCATGTTTGACATTCAAAAAAAAAAAGCCACAAAGGCGCCCTCGGTTCTATCCCGCATCATAAAGGGTTTTGACTTTTGGAACAGCGCCTTTCGACAAACCCCAAATATGTGTAAAACCTCACGGCTCGGTGCAAGCTGTACTCCGTGTTACCACTTCACACCAATGCGGACAAGCTTGGGCAAACACTGCTAGATTAAAATCGTCCCGACAGTTGCTGAACTGATGCAATAGGGGAGAATGTGCCAGAAAGAACAGAGATGAAAGGGAGAGCCAGGGTGATGATCATAGCTGCTCCACACTCTGTGACGTAGATGTTTGTGCAGATTGACCCACATCTTTACCACGTCTTGCTTGTTTGCTGCTTCACTCTGTTCAGCTTTGAAATGCTGAGATTTTCAGATCGGAGAGAGTGCGTTTTTAGACTTTAGAGGTCCGAGCGTTAGTCCAGGGAAGGCGAGGGTTAAACCCCGAAGGAGGAAGCGGTTTTGCTTCAGGTTTCTGCCAACTTTAATCTGCCAGCTCAAGGCTGTGGGAGGGCCGTGTCTGTCAAAGCGGAGTGGCTCCAATGTGTTAATGTAAGAGATTTACTGCAGATGTGTTAAATGAATGGGTACGACTTGTCTGTACTGTAAATTACCACATTATAAACACTGTTCAGACAGTCTGTTATAGCACAGCCATTGGCACAATTCCTTCTTTTCTGTACTGTGTGTGGTCAGAATAGGGGCGACAAAAAACTTCAGTCATAGGTATTTTAATTCTCTCTGTAAACTTTTAACTAACCCTTTCAAATATATTTTTTATATAAAATCTTTAAAGAAAATTAGCACTTATAGTAACAAAAAAACCCTGAAATTCTGTGTGTTTGCAGATGAGAGGGTTTGATGCAGCGTCACTGTGGAATTAGTTACATTTTAACCATAAGCGCGTTTAAAAACGGAAATAGACTTTTAGTCCGACCACAATTGGCAGCTGCACAGCAAATGCTAGCTTTAGCCCCGGTAGCGGTTCCTGGTTAGCCTGTGGTGACCGCTCTTTAACACCGTTTGCAAATGTTATGTGCCTTTTCCTTCACTTTGTCACAGTAAGAACCCAAAATGCTGTCGGACAAATAATATAAAAGTGGTGAATCTTTTTAGTTTCACAAATTAAGGTGTTATGAATATGTCATCGGTTTAGTCAGTCTATGTCTGACTGGTCCGTAAATTAGTTTTCTCAATCTAACGCCGTGGTTTTTATTTGTACAAATGGAGAGAATGTTTCATGAGTTTCTGTTTTTAATAAATCTCAGTTTAAAAAAAAAAAAAAAGTTCCAAAACAGTACATATTCTTTCGAAAATTACTAAAGCAAATGCTAACGTTAGCTTCCTTAGCGGTTTACGATTAGCTAGTTATGCTAGCAAGAACTACTTCCTTTCTTTCTTCAAAATAAGAGCATACAAAAGCTTAGATTCATTTCACCAGACTAAAATGCATGTTTATCGCACATGTGGACTTCTTGCTCTGACGAGAAATATTTTTATTTCACGTTGAGATCTCGTCACGCCCCCAAACATTCCTCATTTCCTCTTTCTCTTGTGTCCGACAGGATGAGTTTGACAAACTCCGCCACTTCTGCTACAGTCGCACCGACGCCCTGCTGCTCTGCTTCAGCGTGGTCAGCCCCGCTTCATTCCAGAACGTGTGGGAGAAGTGGGTCCCCGAAATCCGCCGCCGCTGCCCCCTCACCCCGATCCTCCTGGTAGGCACGCAGTGCGACCTGCGGCAGGACGTCAAGGTGCTGATCGAGCTGGCGAGGCGGAGAGAGAGGCCCGTGGCGGAAGAGGACGCCAGAGCGCTCGCAGAAAAAATGGGCGCCGTCACGTACGTGGAGTGCTCGGCGCTGACTCAGAAGAACCTGAAGGAGGTGTTCGACGCGGCGATCTCTGTGGGGCTGCGGCACTCCGACAGGAGGGCGCGCCGGGAGAGGAAGGTCCGCAGCACCGCCGATAAAATGAAGATGCTGTCCAAGTCGTGGTGGAAGAAGTACGTGTGCGTCCAGTAGGAAGGGCGAGTGATGGAGGATTTTTTTTTCTTTTTTTTTTTTTTGTGGAACTGACACGAAACTGGATCTGCTGTGGTTTCTAGAGAGAGACTGTTGAATGTAAGGACGATCCGAATGGACGGAGCGGACGGTGCTGAGCTGAACTCTGTAGGTTGCAGATGGTTTCATTTCGCCGAGGAAAAAAAACCCCAAAAACTAAAAAAAACCAGAAGTCAACCAAAAGTAACAGTGCCAACATCACATGGATTTTGTATACTGGACTTATTCAAAGAAATGTGACTTGGAGGGAAGCTAATGATAAGCTGGCGATGATAATTATGCTCCTCATTTTATTTTTTTTTCTTTAATTTAGATCCTTTTTTGTGAGATTATTTGTGTTTTTATGCGTTGTCCACCCTGTTTCAGACACCATGGCTTCTTACCGGATGATTTCCAAATGACCATAAAACAAGAAGTTAAATGGGTCAATGTGAACTGTTTAGATAATGGAACCAAGTAAAAAAAATAATGCAGTTATTTAGTCTGGTAAATCACAAACAAGTCAGTTTGTTGTTTTCCTTCAAATTTCCAGATGGCTAATATGTTTCCGATTACAATCAAACTTATTAATACATTTTATAAAAAATGACAGATTTTTTTTAATTCATTTTATACTACAAATTTAACAGTTATAATTTAAGATGTTGATGCAGACATAATGTCTTTTTTTTAAGAGATCTGTAGTGTAAACTTTGTACGTTAATGCCTCAAGAAATCAAAATTACAAACTTATTTAAAATCTAACCAGTGACGGTTATCCAGGCAACATGGTGCAAAAGATGAGACTCATTTTAGATCTTTGAAAGCTTCAGTTCTGTAAACTGGCTGAAAAAGTTTATCAAGCTTTTTTTTTTTTTTAATGTATTTCGTTCCTGTTACTACACAACTGCAGAAATTTATAGGTAATTTGCACTTGCATACAATTCACAAAGATGACCGATATCCGGCCATGCCGTGGTCTGGAGACCAGTCGTTGGATGCAGTTTCAAGAACGGAGTCATGTTCGCTGCAAAGCGAGTCCAAGTTAGAAGATCACTGCGTGTTTTCATTGTAAGCTAAATCTCAGAAAGATCAGCGTGAAGCTGCTTCCTCTTTCGGAACCGAATAAATGAGGTAAAAATGACCAAAGAGACTGATTCTTGGTTCGCTTCTTATTTTTCAGAAGCCCATCCGATCTGTTGTGTCTATTTATCTGTTCCCTCCAGGCTAAAAACGACAACTGAACGACCTCGGCACACGAAAACCTTACATCTATGAGAATGTTGCATAGAAAATATTTGCCATGTGTGTAATGCCATCGTGATAAATCTGTGTGGATGTATACAGCAAGTGACTCATTCGCAGGCCGTACTGTACGACTCTCAATGGTACTAAATGGAATGAGCTCCTGTCTGATACTAGAGAGGTTAAAGCTGGATGAGCGGAACTAAATAAAATGTGAAATATATCACCTTGTTAGGTTTTCTTTCTTTTTTGCTTCTCTATTGGAAGTGTCCTCGCAGGAGTTGATGGGTGGGCGTATTGCTCTCTGCTAAAGCAAATGTTTGAAGAAGGTTAAATGAATAGATGTTTATTCCGATGTTTTAAGGTTGCCGTGGCAACATGCGGTGCAGAACCTGCTCAAGGTCACGTTATGTTTGAAACGTGTGTGTAAAGGTAAGCTAATAAATTATGTAGAAATGAGACTAAAAACCTCGGCGGGTAAATATCAACATCTTGTCTGACAAACATGAGTGAGATGAACTGCGTGTGCTAATCAGAACAACACTAGCGCGTGATTTTAATTTTTTTTTTTTTTTTTTTTTTTTTTTTGCTGGAAAAGGCGAGTGAATATACACATTTTATTTTTTTTATAGATTAATGGTAACGCTTCAGATACCACCAGCACACACCTGAAACATGTATTTATCCCAACGCTCTGCTGTAATCCCAAAAAATGGAAGACATCCACTGAGTAGTGTTGTTGATTGTTTTGCCAGAAGAAATTCTTGATCTCGGCGGTGACATCCTGGTTAAATAAAAAGAAAATGACATGAGGTGTAAGAGCCTAGTTTTTCATTAAGCTGGGGCATTCTGTGCTGCTTTTATATTGTGTTCCTTGCATTTTACTGGATTACAGTCTCTCTCCTCCCCGTTGGACAACAAACAAACAAAATAACTTTAAATCCAGCTGGCGCCAACACTGGACCCATTTCAACAAACAGCCTCCCAGGCTTCAACTTTAACCTTAGAAGCCTCACTGCATTCCTGCCTGACCTGGATTTACTGTGTTTGTAAAGCCGTGTAGCACAAAGACATCTGGATTATTTTTGGTCTTGCCGATTTACATCCGTGCTGAGAATGTGGTTTATTTCAATCTAGTAACCCAGATAACTTTGAAATCACATCAAAAACAAAGTGATTGTCACCTGCGCTAAGTTATGACAAAACTATTTAGCATACAGTACAGTTTTATTACGCAAGAGAAAAACAATGAGATTAGCTGCTGCCCTGGACAGAAAACACAACTCAAAGCAGCATTCATCCTCAATGATGTAAAATAGTAATAACGTGTTCTTTCTTTGTGTTTGGGAGTAGCTTTGGGTCAAAGGTCATTGTACAATCTGAAAGTGCAAGTTGGCAGAGTTTTCCTGGACGTCAGCTGCTGGTCGGAGCGGAGCCTGCCAGGAACATGGGAACTGTGGCGGCAACGGGTCCTAATATTATCCTCCAGCGGTCGCCATGACAGCTCCTGTAGCCAGTGATCATCTCTGTTGTGTTTCTAATGTTTGATGGACGACCGAGTCCCATTTGTCTTTAACCGATGGATCAGAAGTGGAGTGGGACTCATTTTCAGGAAACAAGAGTTTCAATTCAATTTAGATAGCGGCCTATCATTATTATTAAATTATGTAATTATAATCTTACATGTTAAGTCTAAAGTAACTCACTTTTCTGTAAAGCCTTTTTATTACATTACCACATTTTTTCTGAAATATATCCCATGGTTTCTTCGCAGTGTTGATTTAGTTCATGTTGAGAGCACATCTTTAACAATAATCCCTTCAACTCAACCTTTTCAACAATATCGGGATATATCTTTTATTCAATTAAGTGTCCAGAGAGATCCAGACCTTGCAAATGAAATAAAAGAGTGAATGACAGTATCAAATATGAAACGAATAACAAATAAATTATAAAAAAAATGTTGCATTTTCTCATAACGGCATAATGTCTTTTTCCTCTCCAGTTAAACGGTTCCATCACAACTTTGATTTCACAAATATGAGAACATGAGTTCAAGGGCAAATCTCCAAATCTTCTGTACAGCATCAACATTTTTAGACATCATGAACACGACATTTATCCAAAATAAAGGCTCAAAACAATAAGCTAATCTCTCAAAGTCAGGAAAGTTCATGGTCATTGGGGAGAACGGCGGGGTGAGAGAACACCTTTTAAGATTTGCACGATCTAATTTGGTATCATTTTGATTTTTTTTGGCATCGTTTGATTTCGTCCGGGGCGTCGCTTGAGCTCTGCTTGCTTTGATAGTATTTGAGTACAACTTATGTCCAAATCGACCTTTTCGCAGCAGTGGAAAGCTGTACTTTCAATCTCAGATAAGTGTTGGGAACTGATCTGTGACTCATTCCCGACAATAAGTCTTTGGTAGTTTGGTCAAGATTACGCATTTTAACAAAGACATTAAAAAGCTGCAAAAGTGGACACATCCATAATTCACAATCACTGGTCAATGAAAATCGATCTGAGGCACAGAAAGAATAATGCTGTTCACTATTGCTGCTAAAATCACAACAGTGCAGTGTGCAAGTGAAAAATATAAATTTACATTTGATCAAACTTATCTGACTTCAAAGATTCAACCTTAGGTATTTTGGTGGCATCAAGACCTGTAACTACGCCGATTCAGATGATTACGACTCCCTAAAATAGACCTTTTCTTCTTTTCATAGCTGTGTGTCTCCACCACAATATACAACAATTTTCAGAGAATGACAGTCGGCTCTTGCTCCTGTTTATAAGTCCAAATAATAGGTTAGACAACCAAAAGAGAGCTTTTGTCTGGCGGGCTGCAGATGAGTACCTTGTCCAGCTTCAAAGTGGATGAAACTAAGGTAGGAGGAGTGCCAAGTGGTTTAATTATTATAGTCTGGATGGCTCCACTTTCCAGCAATATTTTAGCAAGAAGCCCCCATTGTTGTGTCTTGACGAAGCTCCCATCTGTGAAGCATCCTGTGGTTTAACTTCACGGCTTCTGTGATCGACTGTAATTCCTGCCTGTCTGCTGGAAGGTTATTGTCTGCAAAAATAAAAAATAAAAAATCTCCATCAGTCAGCCATAGAGGCAAGTGATGGAGTTTGGGTCAAAGGTCATTGTTGTGTCAAATCTGACCCAAGGTCAAAAATGTCAAAAAGAAACATTGAGAAAAATGTTTCAGATTTACACATTATTCATTTGACTTCTTTCTGTTTGCTTTGTCTGAACACCTAAACTTATTCCCGAGACATAAAAGTTTTTTTTTTTTTTTTTTTTTACTCTGTCATACAAAGTAAAATACGTAAAACTAAGATGGCACCACAACCCAAGCCGGGTGAAGCCTCCGTCAGCTGCAAAATCTCAAGTAGTCGTTGAACCTTGCGGGCCTACAAACACTCGGTTGCGTAACTTCTGGGAAACATTTAGGTAACAAGTGAACTTTGACTCCACATGAAAGCGCGCCGCTGCAGTCGGTTTTGACGTCTCGAAGCCGATGACGGCTCTTTCTGGTACACCTTGGGTAATTACCAGAGCAATGACTTGAGCTCAACCCTGGGGGCCAGGATTACAGATGAACATTAAACATATTAAGCAGGCCTGCGGGTCGGGAAGGGATCCAACCGGCGGACCGTGGTCCACCTTGTACATTGTCTCACGGATTAAGCGCTGCCCGAGCTCTTGTAATGTGATGCAATACGTCTGAGGTCCTGATTAAAATACATCCACACAGACGGAGCAGAATTCATTATTCTCGACTCAAATCTGCCTCGCAGAAATATGTTTAAGACGTCAGTTTCTCTTTTATAACCCCGTGGTGGCGACTTACGTCACCGACTTGCTCTGGAGTGTTGAGGGGGACGAAAGGTCTCAAGGGCCGAGTTTCTGTGTGGTTATCAAACAGCTGCATGAGAAACAGGAGACGGGAGAGCAGTTCACGTTGGTCTGGGAGGAGGAGGTTGTGTGACATAATGTGAAATTACATCCCAGTAACACAGGCGTTACGTCAAGGCCAACCAAACAAGTGTAATCCATGTGAGGGAGAAGTCTTACACTTAATTCAGGCTTAAATTTAAGTGTGTCGTTGTGTAAAGTCAATTATGGATCTCCATCACAAGTATCAGACTCAAATAATATCCCAGACATGTTTTTATTCATGCTGTTAAAGTCGAATAACACCAGGAGAAAAACAGGGCCTGTTCTGTGTGCTAAATGGACACGACATTGTGGAGACACAGGAACAAGCTTCTGTAACATCAGATACAGAAGTGGCATGAATATTACATTTATTACAAAATTGAGATAGAGGTACATTTTCAAAGGCCAAATATCATTGCTGGAAAATGTGAAAAAAAAAAAAATAATAATAATAATAATAATCTTGGTACCATAATTAAACCACAACCCACATTTAAATTGTTCTTTAAACTCAAAAAGCAGCACTAATACAGGTCCCCAAAAGGTCTTTGGAAGTGTGTTGCTTATGCACTTCCACATACTGTATGAACAATAACATAGTGAGATGATAAACGCCCTTTAGCTGACTGCTATCAGATGTAGGCGCAGTGTTTGCGGTTAATTGTTTTCACATGTCACTGAACTTTGGAAGTGATTTCTTCCTCCCTGTAGATCGGATTTCATTGCCGTTTTCTGAAGAGTCAAAGATCACGGCTTTTCGTTCACAGAGTTTACTCCTGTCACTTGCAAGGATTCGCAGCACTCTTCAAAATCTGTAGTGGGTCCATTATTTTCTATTAAAATAAAATAATTAGAGCCTGTTGCACTTGTTTTTCCATCTGCGTTTTGGAACGCTTGTGTTGTCGGCATCAAAGTTTGACATTTGTGTTGCACGCAGAAATTGTCCATTGCCATAGAAATTCAACGACCGTACAGCAAGTACGGTCAATGAAATAAATAATTAAGATGAAAAAACTATACCCACAAAGTAAATTTAAATTCTACAAAGAATTTTGATTGAGTTTGTTTCCACAGCTTCCAGAGTTGGATAAAATTTCAGCCTATGTATTTATTTAAAAAAAACTAGAGTCTTTCCATGGACCAAAGTCACCAACATGTTGTTAGCTAACAGCTAACAGGGGGTCGCCTGTCTGGCATGTTACAGTATGGCAGTGCAAGTGGGATTATGTTTTAATAAGCTTATGCAAACACCCCCCGCTGTGCGGTCTCAT